GTTTTTTTTGTTGTTGTTTTTATTTATTTATTTATTTATTTATTTATTTATTTATTTATTTATTAAGAAGGAAAATATCCCTATTTTAAAGGGTGGGAATAACTAGCTTTTCTTTTTGCAAAAGTTCCAATATAGCTTGGGCCAGCACTGTTACTGATCCTATACTTAAAATGTTGATATTTTGTCTACCATGAATATTCTTTGGGATTAATATAAATTTTTAAAACTAATACATTAAAATATTAGTTATCATGGACTAGGAGATGGCATATTGGTTACGTTGCTGGACTCCCACATAGTCAACTGTGGTTTGAGTCCTGGACCTCGTGGCTTAAAACTTATGCCAAGCTTATGTGTATGAGGCCCCAAAATCCTGAGAGGAGAATGGAGAAATGATTATGGTGTGGCCATCCTGACTAGGCGGTGATTCCTTGCTTTCTATCTCTCTGGGGAGCACACGCATACTACAGCAAAAATCTCTCTTAAAAAAAGATGTATGTGGGGACCAGCAGTTAGTGTAATGGCTATGTTGCTGGACTCCCATATAGTCAACTGCGGCTTGAGTCCTGGACCCGGTGACTTAAAACTCACCCCGGGCACATTGTGCCTGCGTGCCCAAGATCCCCAGAGGAGAATGGAGGAGAAGGGATTGTGGCGTGGCCATCCTCCCTGGGGGGTGATTTCTCGCTTTCTGTCTCTATGTCTCTCGCTCACAGAACTGGTATATGAAAAGTCATGATATTAGGCCAGCTGGTGGCATAGAGGTTAAGGTGGCTGGATCCATATTGTTAACTTCGTAATTTGAGTCGCGGACCTAGTGGCTTGGAAATCACATTGGACACATGTGCATGCATGCCCAAAATCTTGAGAGGAGAATGGAAGAGTAGGGATTTCAGTATAGCCATTCCCCAGGGAGTGATTTCCTACTTTCTCTCCCTCCATTTCTCTTTGTCTGGAGAGTACTCAAGCTCTATAGCAAAAAACTCTTTAAAAAATTAGTAAGTCATGACATTAATTTTTTTTT